GGATGCTGCCACCCAGGGAGCCAATGAGGAAAGAAATGGCTCATTAACTCTGTCTGAGAAGAATCCCCCAGCCCTACCCTAGTCTTCCCAGAGCTGCACTGGCCGAGGTGACCCTTGGAGCTGGTCGCTCTCAAGCACCCCAAGGCATGTGGAGAGGGACTTGCTGTGTGGCCTTGAGCGTGCCTCTGTCCCTGTCTGGGCCTCCATTTCTGGCCCGCCCTGCTGGCTCTCTGTGCAGGGATGAAGGCATCTGACGGCCCACCGCTTCCTGTGGACTCTGATGAGGAAGGGGTTTCCTGTGCTCAGTCTCCTGCTCCTGGTCACCAACTTGTCCCGTCTGTTTCATGCTCAACGTGTGTTTAATTGAACTGAAAGAGAAATACCCGCCACCACCACCACCCACCACCATGCATAACAGTCTAGAGGTGACCTTTCCTCCCTCCCTTCAGGAAATTCCTGGTGGCCAAGCACTGGCACTGCCTGTGAGCGCTTGGTCCTGACCAAGCTCATGAATGTTTTCTGTCACCAGGACCATGTGCCAGGGCTTTGCCCTCCCCGAGCACAGGCGTTCCCCAGGCGTGTGTGTGTGTGCGTGCGTATGTTGGGACAGGGGGGTGTTGGTGTCAATGCTCTGAGGGAGTCTGACAGTCAGAGGTGTGGATTCGGGGACACTGGGATGTGTCGGGGAGGTGGGGGAGAGAGGGAGAAGAGGTGAACCAAAGCCCAAGAGTCCTGGGGAGTTGGGGAGGAAGGGGGGCAGCAGGGGAGACAGAGAGTCACATTCTTGAAAAGGAGAAGGAAAGGAGGGAGGAGAGTGGCAGGTAAGTTCCTGTGGGGACGGCGGGGGCGGGTCGGGGAATCACTCCAGAGCAGGTCCCCAACATGCTGGGGAAGGCTGTGCCCCCTCAGGTGTAGGTGAGGAGGGGCTTGGGCGCAGACCTTCCCGGTGGACCTGGGCTGCCTAATGCTGTCATCATGGTGGCATCATGGCGATGGTGGCAGGCAAACAATGGCAGATTTTGTGCCAAGACTCATGTCCTGCCCTTCTCTCCTTAAGAATTCAGCTCCTCTAGGAAACAGGTGGCCAGCATCTCCCCGTCTTTAGGGAGATCCTCCCTGCCCTGCCCTGTTCATTTGCCTCTGCGGGATGAGGCCTCTGGAGTCCCAGGAGTCTGGCCACCTACCCTCAAGGCAGGCTGCACCACATCAGGCTCTGATGCACTCACCCTGATGATTCTACCACCCTGTTACCTCTGCACAGACCATCCACCCCACCAGGCTCCCTGCTGAACTCCTACCATCTCCCAAGGCCCAACTTTTCCCTGACTGCTGCAGACAGATTCAAGCCTCTCTCATCTGGGATCCCACAGCTCCTTGGGCTGTTTTTACACACTGGTAACTTCTTGAGAGCAGGGGCTGGGTCCCATTCACCCCTATATCCACTAGACCTGAGGACCAGTAGGTACTCAAGGAATGTCTGCTTAACAAATTCATTTATTTCCATTGAGCTCATCAGGCCTCTTTCTTCCTCATAATTAGGAAGCAGAAAGGTTGCTTTTACCTTTAACAATCCACCTTTGGAAGCTGATGGCAAGAGCTCAGCTAGATTCCTGGGGCACATGGCTGCATTGAAAACAAACAAACAAAAATCATGCATGCCTAAGGAGGTGCATTTAAATGAGACATTGTATGGCCAGGCAAACGCCTGTAATCCCAGCACTTTGGGAGGCCAATGTGGGAGGATCCCTTAAGCCCAGGAGTTTGAGACCAGTAGGCTGGTCAACATGGCACAACCCCACCTCTAATAAAAATGGAAAAATTAGCTGGGCGTGGTGGTGCATGCCTGTAGTCTCAGCTATGTGGGAGGTTGAGGTAGGAGGATCACTAGAACCTGGAAGGCAAAAGTTGCAGTGAGTGGAGATTGTGCCACTGCATCCCAGCCTGGGAAACATAGCAAGACCCTATCTCAAAGAGAAAAAAAAAAAAAAAAAAAGACCAATCGTAAACAAGACACTTGTAGTATATTAAGAGCTTGACATTAAATATTCATCATTATACAGTGTGTCACATAGAATTGGAATGTTACAAGAGACTTCAGAAGCAGGTGGCTGGTTTGAGCCTCCTGGCGGGGACGCAAACAGCCCTAAGGAGGGAGGTGGAAAGGCTGAGGGGCACCTGTGAACAGGTCCCTGTGGCGTTCTGGGAGGGGCGCCCACATCTAAGACTGTGGGCCCTGCACTCCCTCCGGACAGCTTGCCGAATTTGGTCTTTGCTGTTCACCACATTCCAGAAGGGTGGAGAGACAGTTGGCTGGACAGCTGCCTGATTCAGCCAGGACCCTTTACAGGTGTCTGCGGGCCAACACCAAATGCCAGCCTGCTCTGCTGGCAGGACTTCTACCTGCACTGTCCCGACGGCTGCAAGAGCAAATGGTGACCCTGGCTGCTGGTCCTTGCCAGGCCCTTGGTCAATGACATCACCACTTCTGAGAGAGTGTCTGGGGAGCTACTGGAACTTCATGTTCAAAATCTTACAAAGGGGGCCGCTGGTTCTGGAAATGGGCAGAGCGAGCTTGCGGGCTCCACCCTGTGGACTGGACGCCTTGTGGGAAGCTGCTTCAGGTTTCCCTCCTGCTCACACTCAGGCCACAGAGGCGCCCCGGCCCACAGCCGCCCTGTGAGGACAGGGCCTGCCTCCTGAGGCATGGAGCCTTTGCACCCCTTTCCTGCGAAGGGCTGCGCTGTGAGCCTCTGTCAAGGAGAGCGTGTCAGCCTGGGCCATTCTTCTGACTTCAGGACAGGACTGGCAGGCAGTGGGGCCCTCTTCCCCTACAAAGCCTCCTTTCTTTCTGCGGGCGCCATCCTGTTTGGGGGACTGCCAGAAGGGCCCTTGACTCCTCAGCGCTCAAGGACAGAGCTACTCAAGTGGTCAGGCATTATGGTCAATAATAAAGCCAGCAAAGAAGGGAGATACAGAAACAGCCGCTAGTGCTGGAGGTTCTCAGACAAAATGCTGAGGGCGCGACGTTGTGTGGCAGGAGCTTTTCTTTTCTCTCAAAGAAATCCAGCTCAATTTTTTCCCCCATTAATTGGCAGCAGATGAAAAAAAAAAAAAAAACCCAAAACAAAAACCAAACCAACGCCAGTAACCTGAATGCGAGTGTTTCTGAAAGGGAAAAGCTGTTTCAATTGTTAGATGTCCAAGAAAACATGAATACAGGCGGACAGAGGAAACGGTCACAATTAGAGGAAGAAGAGGGAGAGGTTCATAAAATTAAGGGAAAAAAATTCTTTTCAGCAGCTCCCATCCTGTAAGCTGGCTCCTCTGCTGGCCTCTGTCCCTGAGGGGCTTGGAAGGTTGGGCCTCCCAGGGAAACTTCAGGAAGATGAAGGCCGGGGACAGAGGGAGGGTCCCAGGAATACCCTAAGAGGCCAAGTCAGGGCCAGAGGGTACAGCTGCCAGCTTCCACTGAGAGCCTCCCAGAGCCTTTCCTGAGGAGCGATCTGCCCCGGAAGACTGTCCACAGAGAAGGACCATGAGGTGCGGCCCCACCCAGCAGCCTCAGGAAGTGGCCGGACCTGAACTTGCCAGGGTGAGAGGTCTCACCCTCCTGCCCTGCCGGAGGGTTGTCCCTCCACTTCCTCAGCCTCTCATGGACCTCCTCTGAGGATAAGCCTTGGGGTCCAGGCTCCTCTGTTTGGACAAGTGCCAACTCCTCACTCATCTTGTCATTTCCCACCTACCCTCCCACTCCCCAAAAGGAAAGCATGAATCCTTCCAGGGCATTCCTGCCATCCTCCCTCATTGAGGGATGCTCTAGGAAATGCCAAACACGCAAGGAAAGGATTGGCTTCTTTAAGAGACTAGACCCAGGCCACGGCCACATGGACTGCCAGACAAGGCCCGGGAGGACGACCCAAGAGGCGGCTGGTCCCTAAAGACGGGTCGCCAAGGGCAGGGCTTTGCACAAACTGCTGAAGTCTGTGCAGCTACCTAAAGGGGCAGGGCTCTGTCCCAGCTCAACACGTGGCCTTGGCGAGTCCTCCTGTGTCTGCATCTCAACAGTGAGCTGGAATCACCTCCAAACAGTCTCTAAAGACATGAGCAGCGCTGATGTCGGAACCTGCTGATGACGTTCAAACTCGGACCCTCGTGCTCTGCCCAGGTGGGCCAGGGATGACAGTCGTCAAACTTCCAGTTCGTTCAGGCCAGCTGGTGCCTGGCGAAGGCTCTGGAACCGTGGTGTCTCATTCAGGAGAGGGCAGCCACACCTTCATGCTGCTGGCTGGGTGGAAAAAGCAGGAGAGCTGAGAAGCTCGTAGCCTCATCGGGCTGCCTGGCCTGTGTGGGAGGACCCTGCTGCGTTCAGCAAGAGAGGGTGTGTGTTTGTGTGTGGAAGCAGTGTGGACCACTGAGGGCTCAATGTCCCTGGGGGGTCAGGATTCTGCCTCCTCCATGGGCAGAGTGACAGCAAGGCCATGCAGAACCAACGAAAGAGCACTGGCTGCAGAACCGCTCTGCCGCTAGTGAGCTGTGTGGCTTTGGGCAAATGACGTCCCTTCTCTGTCTCCCTTTCCCTACATGTTAAATACCTCCCAGGTGGTGCTGACAGACAGTGGGGACAGAGCCCTTTGTAGCCAGCTGGGTGCTGTGTCCGGGGGTTGGGGGGGGGTGTCAACACAGACATCCCACTGCAGGAGGGAAAGACCGGTTGTTTGATCACTAGAGGCTCCTGACTGTCCACTGCTGAAGCCTGAACCCTGAGCTCTGGGTTGACTCCCAGAGTGCTACCGACTGCCTCAGCCCGGTTGCCAGAGCAGATGGCTCTGGTGTTCAGAGCTGCTGAGGGCTGGAGCTGAGGCCTCGGCCTCCCTCCCCTCCCTGGGGCCTGCCACAGCAGGAAGCCCAGAGGAGACACACCTTTCTCTGGGAGTGAAACCAGTAGACAAGCACTGACCCCTCAGAGACCCTCTGCAGTATATCAGAAAAGGATAAGGCTATATATTAAATGACTATTTTATTTACATACCCTATTCATAAATAATTGAATCCTCTTTTTGACTGCATAATGATTCCTTGAAGATCGCCTAATGATTACACTGAGTGACTACAAGTAGATCAGCGGGCTTACCCATCTGTGTGTGACCACATTCTCATATCTGTACTCACACACACACTCACACAGACACACACACACACACACCAGCGGGGGTGGAACGCCAGCACCTCCGGGACTCTCAAAGCACCAGCATTTGGCTCCCAGCATCCGTTGGGGGCCCCTGTGGGAAAACTTTGCCCCGTACACAGGTGTGAATTCGAGACAGCTGAAGAACAAAGAGATGTCAGCCAGGGAGCTCCTGCCCCGCCCTACCCCCACCCCTCGGAGCTGGTCTGCCTTTGTTCATCCTGGAAGGCATCTCTTTGGATTTGCAAATATTTTAATTCACAGAAACTCAAGGAGAGGGTGGGGGTGGGGGCTGGGGTGGTGTGTTGGCCGCCCCTCTGTCTTTATCCAGGCCTTCTCCAGCCCCCGTAAGTGGCAACAGCATTCTAGAGACATGCAGTGGTGTGCTAGTACCATACACACAACACAAATGACACAGCCAGCAACAGTGGCCGGGCTGGTTGGTGGGGGGCCTCCGGCACCTCCAAGTCTCAGGCTCTGTCACAGAGCAGGGCAGGTCTGGTCCGCTCACAGGGTCCTCACAGCCACGGGGTAGAGGAGGGACAAGTGCTCGGCCCCTTTGATGGGTAGCTTTCTGGTGGTGTAGTAGTGGATGACTTCCGGGACACTGTCGAATGGAGGGCTGTTCTGACCCAGAATGTATTTCTCTTTGGTTTTGGCCAGTTTCATGTGCATAAAACCCTGGTTGCTCCTGTGAACAAAACACAGAGGTTATCAGAACTACCCCTCTGACACTCAGGCTGAGGCCAAGGGACTCCTCAGCTGTCTGGGACAGAAGGGATCCCAGCCATGAAGTGGCTAGGAGTTGCACCTCTCCATGCCAGGGCCAAGGCCCAGGACCAGATGAAATGCAGCTGCACCCAAGTGTACCCCCAATTCCGGCATCTGACCCAGAACCAGCAGCACGGCTGGTTCTGCTGCCAGGCTACAGGAGAGCATTCCAATACTGAATGATTCTAGGGGCTTCTTCAGAAAAACAAAACAAAACTTAGTCCCTCTTTCTACTACTAGTGCATATCCCTGTTTAAGCCTTGCCTGATAGGTGCAAAGTGTCTTCATATCCCCAGTGCCATGACAAGTGGGTAGGGCAAGGGTCATTACCCCCAGTTTCCAGAGGAGGAAATTGTGTGGCAGGGATGGCAAGTGATCTGTCCTTCCCTTTCAGTAGTAGAAAACTGTCACTGGGAAGGGGCCACCCAGCCAGGGACTACATTTCCCAGCCTCCCTTGCAGGCAGTTACCCATGTGACTTGGCTTAGCCAATGCAACATGGGCAGAAAGTCTGTACTACCTGCCCTCTGCATCCTCCCCTTCTTCATAAACCCTGTCTCTCCCAAGGTCCAGCCTGTGTTGTCTCTGCTGGGTGGTCTTCCAGGCTCCCACAGGCAGAGCTCCTTCCTTCATCTGGTGGCACTGAAGACATGCATGCCTTCCTGAACTGCAGGTACTTAGCCACCATCCCAGCTCCTCTGAGCATGCCACGGAGCAGGGCCCAGTCTATGTCCGCCATGCTTGGCTTCAGACTTGCCTGAGAGGAACCTCCTGAAGTCTGCTCAAGGAAAAGCAGTGGGGTGGGTTCCTCAGAGATCAGAGCAGAGCCTGTGTGCTCAAAGCCCTTGGAGCCCACCTGCATCTGCTCACACAGAGCCAAGGCCACGGTCCTCCCACCAGCATTTGCCTGGCCCCAGCAGACCTCTCCCAGCTCTCGCTGGGGCTGCAGCCACACTGGACCCCTCACCCCTCCACCAGCCTGCCTCGGTCCAGGCTGCCGTCTTCCTGCCCACTCAGTTCCACACCTTTTATGATTCCACTATGATCCTGCCACCACACCTGTGGATGCTTTAGATTTTCCAAAGCACAGTCCACTTTATCGGGTGTCTGCCCCTTAGGTAGAAAGCTGGAGCTTCTGACAAATCACCTGCCCCCATCTCCACAGCCTCTAGAAGACTCCCCCAACCTGAGCTCCGAGCAGACTTGAAGGTTTGCAGCCTTTCCACTCCAGCTCCGCCCCTCGCCACTGTCGCTCCCACAGGGGCTCTCAGGGCTTGAACACATCCCTTCCAGTCAGGACTGGGCTTCCCAAGGTTATGAGTGCCCGCTCTATTGACACCTTAATTTGGGCTCCAGGACCATTTTCAAACGGGCAGAACAAATGCTTAATGAAGTGCGAGCACTAAGCAATATGTCTGCTTTTAATAATGTATTTAGAGATGTCACCCTCAGCTTAACGGAAATCGTTGGGAGAGCAATTACATTTCAAGAGAGAGTAATTCCTGTAGAGAACTGAAATTTAAATCAAGATTTTTTTAAGGCTGGCAATGTTCTAATTACAGAGCCTGTGGCAAGTTCTGCTCCTCAGTGAAGGGTCATTTCATTGGAGAATTGCCTAGACACGTCTGAGAAGCAGGCGGCGCACTTGCTTAGGCTGCAGAAAGGAAACGGCGTGTATATGACAAGAAGAATGTAAAACTCCATTCCAGTGAAGACTCACCTACCCGCCACGCCGAAGAGACCACAGATCTGTGCCAGCTTGGAAAGGGCTGTGATTGCTTAAATAACACACTGAAACTGCGTGGCTGAGAAAACAGCAGAAGAGTTAAAAAGCTGAGCTCTCAGAGCCACATGCCCAGCTTTGCCTGGAGAACGGGTGTGGGCGGGCGAGAGAGCAGGGCTGGTAAGAAGGGGCTGCAGGTGCCAGGGACACTCAGCAGGGAGGAGGGTGTGACCCTGGGCACATCATTCCCCTCTACGTGCATGCACTGAGTGGCCTTATGTTTTTGGGGTGCTGGACCAGCAGGCTTTGTGATTCTCACAGATCCATGCCTGGGGGACAGAGTGGAGGAGGTGTCAGGCAGACGGTCACGGCCGCTGGCAGGAAGAGTCTGCCAGTGTGCAGGTATGAAGCTGTAGGGGAGCGAGCCAGTTTCATTTTCAAAGTTAGGAGAGTAACTCACATGGATGAAAGTGACATTTCACACTAATTTGTTCTACAGCATCGGGCAAGGGATGTGGACAGTGACGGCGGCAATGGCTCTCACGGTCTGAAGCAGACGCTAAGCTCCTCTGTTCACAAGATAGGGGCTTAGGATGGCCAAGGTACGATGTCCTCTGTACCTTGGCTGCTGACAGATAGCGAGTTGGGGCAGCTGCCAGGCTGAGAAGAGTCTAGACGTCCCCTGGAAGTCCCTCCTGCCTGTCTGAACCTGCTGTTTATCCCCCACAACACACTCCTATTTTGCCTGTGTAAGCACCCACAAGTTTACCACCTTGAGCCAGGCTGTGCCAATGGGGCAGGTTGGTCCCGAAGCTCAGAGACCAAGGCAGAGCTGGGACCAGCACTTGGGCTCCATGAACCCCCAGTCTGAGGCCTGACCATTCTCAGGCAGAGGGAGAAAGGCACGCTCACATGCTGACCCTCCTGGGCTCAAGCACTGCACCCCGTGGGTTCCCTAGCCCTCAGGCTGTCCTTGTGCCTTGCTGGGCTCTGTCCCTTCTCCCACTGCATCCACAGGGAGGCTGACTAGATGACCCTGGGGGGTGCTTCCAGCCCTAGGTCCTGGATTCCACATGTGCAAAACATAATCTGCTGCCTACCTGCTGAGGGCTTCCTGCAGGAAGGGATCTGCAAGCAGCCTGACACATTCCCTCCACCGCTGCCCTCATCCCCAGTCCTGATTTCGCTGGGGCATCAGCCAGGATTGCCTTCAGGGACAATCCTTCCTATAGGCCAGGCTCTATGTGTTTAAGCACCGAGGAGCAGACAGGGGAGGTGTCCGGCCCAAGATCACACAGTGATCATCAGCAGCCGATGTCCAGAGTCAGTGCTCCTGACCTCAGCACTCCCCAGACCTAAGAGAGGGCCTCATGTAACCCTCAGTGCTCCACGTGAAGTCAGGCAGAGGGGTGGGTGAGAGGCGTCAGACCCTGAGCAAACATCCCCTCTACGCTGATCTTCCGCCTCCACAGCGCCCATGGTGCAGGGCTGACAGCAGGTCAGAGACAGCAGAGGGGCTGGGAGTAAAAGACAATGTGTGGCACCCACGCAAGGGGCTGTGCCGAGGATTGGGAATGACATGTTCTGATTGGTGGAGCCCCCAGGACCGCCCCCCAGGGGTCTGAGGTCCCGAGACTATCTGCCAATCCTCGACCAATGCAAGGGTCAGGTGACGCCTTGTCCACACACAGCCAGGAGACATGCTGTGACAATACATTCTCATTGGTTAAGGTCCCCATGAGGGAGATGTCACCTAACAGTTGAAGATTTAAAAGCAGCTGCCAGGAGTGGCTTCACTGACTCCCACCTTCACACAAAAGGAGAGGCGAGCATAAGCAAAGGAAGCATGAGCATTTCTGTGGAGAACAGAGGGGTACATCAGGCAAGGAGTATGCCCAGGGATGCATGGCTGCTGCAGACAGCATGTATTCTGAGCTGCAAGCAGTCTGGGGGTCACCTCTCACTCCCCTGGGGTACTGTGGAGGAAACTGAGGCCAGACAGTATACTACCCTGGCCCAAAGTGCACAGCAAGGCAGGCTGCAGGTGAGCCCAAAGCCCTGGTCCTGCATCCCGAGCCAGGTAAGCTGGGCTCTGGGCCACACCTCCTCCCACCTTTCTTCAAGGCAGCGTGGACCTCCGCACTTCAGCACCATCGTGGTTCAGGGAGGACACTGCCCCCGGGGAGCTTCAACAGGCTGCTGTGCCTGCCAAGCTCCTGCATCAGCCCCGTCTCCTTTCATAGGACATCTTGCGAGGGCAAAGTCACAATGAGAGGTGTCTCTGGTGGGTGACCTGTCTAATGAGTCTTATAAGGCTGGCAGAGGCCGGGGTGCTGGAGCTGTCACAGGCGTTCAGATGGCTCATTATCATCACAAAAAGCACCTCCTCATCATCAGGATTATCAAACGTGCCGGGCACGCAGGGCTAATAACAGGCCCCACCTCGCAGCGCAATCACGGGCTTTAATAAAACATTACTCAGCCTGCAGCTGCCGGCCGCTGAGCAGGGTACGAGGCCTCACCTCTCGCTTTTAGACCTAATTGCTTGATGCATATTTCATGAAGAATCCTGGGTAATAGTTATGTTAAACCGCTTCTTTTCATGATGAAATGACTTAAAAATACTTGCATATAATATTTATGCGGGAGAAGGATGGAAATTGGCCTTTGGGACTAACATGTGGGACCCAGTTACAGGACTCCAGACACAGAGGGGATTTCTGGTTTACCTTAGCTTGAAAGGTGTGTAGGGCGCTGCTGTCCTGACCCAGATGTCCTCAGAACATTAGCCCTCAGGTCAAAACCATCCAAGGCTCCCCATGGCCAAAACAGATGTAATGACATCCAGTACTTCAAGAGCCCCTACTGTGTACTGGGCTCTGAGCTGAGCTGTTGCCACATATTCTCTCATTTAAACTGCAGAGCAAAGCTGCTAAGTTGTTAGAATGATCACTATTTACAGATGGGGAAACTGAGGCTCAGGAAGGTTGTGTCTCATGGGACATGGTAGGGCTAGGATTTGAACCTATGTTTGCTGAACTCCAAAGCCTGGCATTCAGTGCCCAGAAGCTCCCACCACAGCCTCATCTTCCTCTGCTCAGCCACCCGCTGGCCTCTTTCTGCCCCAAGATCTGGCTTCCCTGCAGCTTGGTGAGAACTGGAGGCTGAGAATCCTGCAAGCCCACTGTGATGCTTGTT